TTATAGTAGTATATCGGGGAGTCAGAGGGGGGTCATTTCCCAGCAAGGCTATCACAGTCCCAGAGCGAATAGCAGGCGGCCTTGCCAACATGCTAAGTGACCCAAGCTTGTTCCAAGGTCGGGGGGCGTACAGTCGCGGCCTTGCCAACTCACTGAACCGACCGGAAGCAATGCTCTAAGGTCAAGGGGCTCAGACGGGTCCTGGAGCCCCACCGGGTTGGACTCCTCCGGGCCCTATCACTAGTGATAGATTTATCTCCCCTTAGTTATTGACAGAATATCACACTTATTCTCTATCACTTTTTTTTTTTAATAGACCATAGATTAGTTTATTTTTAACACCTATCATGCCATGAATTTATAGGGAATTGTTTCCAGAAGCTCAGGCTCCTTTCCATTGGTTCTCACACAGCGGCTTCTCTGGGTGGAGCAGGCTGGCACGTCAGTTGAACCTAGGTCCCTCTCTCTTTGGCTTCCTTCTTTTTCTGGTCATTTTCCTTCACACGGAAGCTATCTCTGCTCTTAGAATACTTACTATGCTCAATATGCACATTCATTCTCTTGGCAAGAATTTTGCCCTTGTTTATTTACAACAATGCCAACAGCGTGCTGGGTAACATTGTAGACTCTTTTGGTTTTGCCATGCTAACATTTGTGGGGCATTTCTTTTTGAACAGTACCCATCCCCTTGATGTCTACAGTATCACCTTTCTTGTAGATTCGCATATGTATTGCCAGAGGAACCACTCCATGTTTTCTAAAACGCCTAGAGTGCATATACTGGGTGCCTTTCCCTTTGTGTTCATCGTTTTGGTGAGTTACTGGAAGATGGTTCCGGCCAAAAGGTTCTCTTTTACTTTTTATAAGTGGAATCATGCATCGTCCTTTCTGTTTAGTCTCCTTTGTTCACCATTAGGTTTGTGAGCGTCACCTAGAGGATAGCGTGTAGGAATACATTGCTTTCTCACTGCTGTACGGTATTCACCGTGGAGGCAACACGGTGTGGTTAGTCCTTCAGTTGATGAGAATTTGGGGGATTTCCAGTTTTAGGTTCTTGTGCATGGTGTTGTCTGGTATATATTTCTGCTGGGTATACAACTGGTTCTCAAAAAGTTTGTGGGAAAATGGTGTTGAAATATCAGTTTATTTTGGTCCAAAATTTTTTGAAACCTATGCTTTTTTTTCATAATATACATTTTCTGTGAACTTTTTGAAGCCCTCTCATAAATCTACGAGTGGAATTGCTGGGTCATTAGATCTGCATATATGTTTAACTTCAGTAGATAATGCTCAATCATTTTGCAAAATGGTCGTACCAAGTTACACTCCGACCAGCAGTATTTTACTTGTCACCAGTGCTTGGTATTGTGATTGTTTTCATTCTGGCTTTTCTGGTGGATGTGTAGCCTATCACATTCTAATTTGTAGTATGGTTTTTAATTCTTTGTACTGTGGGTTTTCATTTGCAGTTCCTTGATGGCTAAGGACCTTTTCATGGATTTATTAACAATTAGAGATCCTCTTTTGTGAAGTGTCTGTCCAAGTCTTTCTCCCATTTGTCTTTTTTATTGTTCTTGACTCATAGGTCTTTATAAATTCTGGATAGGAACCCTTCATAGAATTGGTTTTGCAAATCTTGCCTCCTGCCCTGTGAGTTGCCTTTCATCTTTTTAATGTCTTTTGTTGATGTCGTATTTTTGTTTAACGTAGTCATTTGGCGTATTCTTTTTGTTATAGATTTTTTTAAAAAGTCAATTTCTGGGACCAGCAGATGACGTAATGGTTATGTTGCTGGATTCTCACACAGTCTACGGTGGTTCAGACCCAGTGGCTTAAAACAGATCGGGTGTGTGCGTATGCATGCCCAAAATCACGAGAAGGGAATGGAGGAGAAGGGATTGTGGTGTGGCCATCCTCTTTGGGGAGGGTGGTTTCTCGCTTTCTGTCTCTCTATTTCTCTCTGTCTCTCTGGTGAGCACACACACCCTATAGCAAAAATCTCTCTACAAAAAAAAAAAGTCTTATTTCTTCTGAGAAAGCAAGGGAAAGGGAGGAAGTAGGAGAGAGAGACACACACACACACAGGTACCCCTTACAGGGTCTTTATGCTGCAGTCAACTCCTAGCCTCAATCAAGGGCATGCACATACACCCAGTGTGCTTAGAAACCCTGGGATGCCAACTGGGGACCTTCCTGTTTGGGTCTGGTTGTGTTACCACTGTGCCAGCGACTGGCCTTGTCACTTTCTTTTTGTGGTTACTGGTCTTTGAGTCTGGTTTAAGGAATGTTTGCTCACTTTAAGGTCATAAAGATGTTCTTTTTTTTTTTTTTTTAAACCTTTCACATTTGGAGCTATAGTTCATCCGGAATCGATTTGTGTGTGTGCATGCACGTGTGTACACACGATGTGAGGAAGGAGTTATTTGAGTCCCGAATCTGGCAACTTGATTTCTCGCTTTTCCTTTCTCTCTCTCTGGTCAAATTAAAAAATAATAATAAATGGAATTAAATAAATAATTTTTTTTTTTTTTTTTAAGATTCATTTCCTCTCAATACCTCTTTTTAGGGCTGGTCTCGTGACACAGTGGCTAAGCACTGTATATAGGGAGCTGGGTCCCATGTTGTTGACCGTGGTTTGAATTTTGGTCTCAGTGGCTTAAAAAACACAATGGATATGTGTCCCTAAAATCCTGATGAGAGGGAGAAATGGAGGAAATGAGTTGCTATTCTGGCAGTAATAAAAGAAAAATACCCCTTTTTAGCTTTGTTACCTTAGATTAGTGATCTCAGGTTTCTCTCTGTGAGATGAGGATGATAAATTCTTTTGTGTGTGTGTGTTGGGGGAGGGGGGGTTGCCACAGGGTCTGTGCACTTGCCAGAGAGATACAGTGAGAGGGAAAGTAAGAAACCACCCCCAGTGGGGATGGCCACACCACAGTCCCTTCTCTTCTGTTCTCCTCTTGGGATTTTGAGTGCACACACATGTGCCCAGCATGATTTTCAGGCTGCCAGGTCCAGGACTCATCTGTGGTCAGCCATGTGGGAATCCAGTGCTTTTACCACCATGCCACCTGCTGGCCCCTGGATAATGAATTTTTACATCCTGTGCTAGTTGTGAGGATGAAGTAAGTATATATACATAAAGCATTTAGAGTGGTTCTTGGAACATAGGAAGTACTCAAGAAAGGTTAAGTATTACTATTATTTTTAACAAATATTGTACTCCAGGAACTCTGCCAGATACTTTCTGGACATTATCACATGTAATTCTCACAGTATTTGAAAGAAAAAATAGGTCTCTAAGGGACAGCATTGCTTGCTCAAGGTCAGCAGCACAAAATGGCAGAGGTGGAATCCAAACTCAAGCCCCCTAGACTTCAGTGTCCAAGGCATAGGCTTGGCCTTTGCTCAGACTAACAATTTGGCTGGTGAGGGTGGGGGTCTGGGGCCCAGGCTCACACCTTCCTCTCTCCCACCCCAGGTCGGCTACCAGATCCGCTTTGAGAGCACACGCTCTGCGGCCACCAAGATTGTGTTCCTGACTGTGGGGCTGCTCCTGCGGCAGATCCAGCGGGAGCCCGCCCTGCCCCAGTACCAGGTCCTGATTGTGGATGAAGTCCACGAGCGGCACCTCCACAATGATTTTCTCCTGGGTGTCCTGCGGCGCCTGCTTCCCACGCGACCTGACCTCAAGGTCATCCTCATGTCGGCCACCATCAACATCTCACTCTTCTCCAGCTACTTCAGCAATGCCCCTGTGGTGCAGGTGCCTGGGAGGCTGTTCCCCATCACGGTTAGTGCCGCCACTCCTCCCACATCACCAGACTGCCCTCCCACCTGGTCTCTGCCCAGACCTGGCTGTCTCTCTTCCCTCTGCTGCTCTGTTTCCCACCTCTTCAATGAAGGACATTCTCTCCCTCTTTTTTAAACCTGTCATTTGCTGAGTATTCACAATGTGCCAGTAGATTCAAAATATAAAGGCTCAAATAAAATAGAAATTTGTGGGCCAGCTGGTTATATGGTAGTTAAGGGGGCTGGATCCCATATAGGGATGCTTATGCAGTTTGAGTCTTGGACCTTGAAAAACACACCAGGCAGGTGTGAGTGTATGCCCAAATTCCTGAAAGGAGAGAATGATGGAGGAGAAGGGATTGTTGTATGACCATGCCCAGTGGGAGGGTGCTTTCTCACTTCTCTTCCCCTGACCCTCTTTCTCTCCAGTGAGAGTGCATGCCATCTGGCAAATTATTTTTTAAAAAAAGAGAGATTTATTTCTTTTATATAATAGTCTGGCATGTTTAGGTTGTCAAGCAGCTCTGTTCCCTGTGGTCATTCAGGGACTCAGATTTTTCCTTCCTCTTTACTTCCCCATCTCACAGGGCAGGGTTTCTCAAAGTCAACAGAATTGACATTTTGGGCTAGAAAGTTCTTTGCAGTGGGTGCTGTCTTGTGCTTTGTAGACTATTCGCCAGCACCCTGGCCTCTACTTGGTGGCATTCTCTTTCTCCAGTTGTGACGACCAAAAATGTCTCTAGATGTTACCGCATGTCCATGGGGAGAGAATGGAGAGGGGGAAAATCACTCCATACTGAGAACCACTGCCCTAGGGAGCCCTTGTTGTCTACTCAAAGCTTGCAAGAAGGCTCTCATTGTCCCTTGTGGTTTCTAATTCTAAATGCCCATAAATCTGTTTTCTAAGTAGCCATACCAAGAAAAATGAGGATGCTTCCTAAGAAGGCCTGATTCCACCACTTTGCATTTTTCTTGTTGAAGTTATACTCCAAACACAAAAGAATGCACATATGAGCCTGTAGCTCAATTAATTTTCACAAATTAAATTATCTATGTAACCAGTAGCCGTATAGAGACAGAGAGACAGAAAGCGAGAAATCACCCCCCAGGGGGAATGGCCACGCCGCAATCCCTTCTCCTCCATTCTCCTCTTGGGATCTTCGGCGCACACGCGCCCGGCGTGAGTTTTAAGCCACCAAGTCCAGGACACGAACCACTGTCGACTAGATGGGAGTCTAGTGACATAGCCATTACGCTAACTGCTGGTCCCAAGTAGCCATTTTTTAAAAAAATTGAACATTACCAGCACCCAGAGCTTTCTAGTTACCTTGGTACTTTGTCTTTTTATCATACCCTGCCCAGCCTTTCCCACTTGCTGGTGCTGTGTGTCCATCAGCCGTGGCCTCCCCACCCTGTCCCTCTGCTGGAGTGACAGGGTCCCCCCCGCCGCTGTCTCCC